CTTTGAGTCTCTGTGGGGCTCTGTGTGTCTCTGTGAGTCTCTGTGGGTCTCTGTGTGTCTCTGTGAGTCTCTGTGGGTCTCTTTGAGTCTCTGTGGATCTCTGTGTGGGTCTCTGTGACTCTCTGTGAGTCTTTGTGCGAGTCTCTGTGTGTCTCTGTGAATCTCTGTGAGTCTCTGTGGGTCTCTGTGTGAGTCTCTGTGGGTCTCTTTGAGTCTCTGTGGATCTCTGTGTGGGTCTCTGTGACTCTCTGTGAGTCTTTGTGCGAGTCTCTGTGTGTCTCTGTGAATCTCTGTGAGTCTCTGTGGGTCTCTGTGTGAGTCTCTGTGAGTCTCTGTGGGTCTCCGTGTGGGTCTCTGTGTGTCTCTGTGAGTGTCTGTGGGTCTCTGTGTGAGTCTCTGTGTGGGTCTCTGTGAGTCTCTGTGGGTCTCTGTGTGAGTCTCTGTGTGAATCTCTGTGAGTCTCTGTGTGGGTCTCTGTGAGTCTCTGTGGGTCTCTGTGTGAGTCTCTGTGTGAATCTCTGTGAGTCTCTGTGTGGGTCTCTGTGAGTCTCTCTTTCATAGTTTTCATTTCATAGTTTCATTTATTTGGTATAGCCCTGTGAGCCATGTGGCTCTTGAATCGGGTGCAACCGCAGCAAACAAAAAACTAAAACATGAACAAGAAAACATCTTAAAGTGACTATGTGACTGTGCAAACTTAAAATCCAGGAAAAAACAGCAAAATGTTCCTGAAATAGCACCGTACACCAACGCTGTGTGCAAAAATCCCAGTGGGATGCAAGGCAAACAACAACAACAAGAAAACTTAGATTAAGGCCATCAGTCTAACTCCGTACTACAATAAACAAAAACATGGCCAAACCAAAAAAACTTTTATAAATCACCAAAATAAAGCCATAAATGCAATGTAACAGTGATCATAGGAACTGTGACCGAATTTTTAACAATAAACTACATAAATAACATCTAACACCAAACCCTAGAGCCACAGCTGGCTGCATGATTCACTCCACAAACAAAAGGAGCATCAGTCGGAGTATCACATTTTTCAATGCGCCTTTAAGATCAGCACACTAAATCAAAATACAGATAATACTTTGCAGCGGTCATCCGGAGCGAAACATTTTATTTATTTTAGGCCACTGAATAGCAGTGGCAGCTAGGGGTGTACAACTCCTCTAGAGCAGTTTTGAGTGAAGATCTCATAGGTAGTGATTCAACTTGCAGTTTATTGGCAATAGCATTCCAGACCCTGGCGGCATCAATAGCAAAGGCCCTTCCTCCGGTTTTTGTACGGCAATAGGGAATGTGAATCTGGTAGATGAGCGAAGACCTGAGGTCTAATTTGTTCTTTGAAACAGAGGAGATCCAGTAGGTAGTCTGCGGATTTGTTTGTAAGTACATCGTGAATAAATAATATCTGGTGCACAAGCCGTCGAACATTAAGAGATGTTAAGTTTGACCCAATGTAGAGATCACAGTGGTGAGTCCTATATGGGCAGTTCAATGTAAATCTTAAAGCCGAGTGATAGATGGAATCAAGCTTCTTCAGTACTTGGGGCTGATTTATACACGATGTCACAGTAATCAAGTAGAGGCAGTATGGTAGCTTTGATCAATTCCAAACGGAACATAGAGGGGAAGCAGTGCTTGTGTCGATACAGTAAACCAATTTTTATTTTTGTCTTTTAACCAATATAATCAATGTGATCTTCAAAATTCAGTTTTGAATCCAGAATGACCCCAAGATACTTATAGAACTTGACTTACTCTATTTGATCATTATTTAAGGAATGTAGTTTGGGAAAAATAACTTCCTGCTTTAGTCCCGGTGAGAAGCATAGCACCTTGATTTTGGAGGTATTTAGGACTAGTTTAAAAGCAACTAGCTGATGTTGTAGTTTGTTGAAATCACCCTGGAGCTTAGCAATCACGTCATCTGGGGAGTGGCCAGCAGTAATCAGTATCGTGTCATCTGCAAAAAGATTTACCCTGGAATGATCCAGGTCAGTGCCCAAGTCATTGACATAAAGAGAGAACAAGAGGGGGCCGAGGATGGAACCCTGTGGAACCCCTTTTGTTATCTTAACACTGTTTGACCTCCAACCATCTGTGAATACAGTTTGGGTGCGAGAAAAGAGGTAATGTTTTTACCATTTTTCTGTGTTTTTGGAAAAACCGGGGCAACTTAGTTTACCAAGCTGGGTGTTGTGGTCTACTGTATCAAAAGCTCTTTGGTTCTATTGGGTAAAGTCACGTAGGTGAAAATAAAATAACAAAAAATCACGACGTTTCGGCCACAACACAAGCGGCCTTCATCAGGTGAAGGGACGAGACTGTCTGGTAGGACAGCGCTGGAGTGGAAGAAGCCACGCTTAGATCACGACCTTTAAGCTGTGTGAGAGGAACAAAGCGCCTTGACAAAGGAATTAGCATATAATTTAGCATTGAAATGGCTCATTGAAATAGCTAAGTTAAAGTATACACATCCGCAGAGGTACCCCTTGACAAAGGAATTAGCATAGAATTTAGCATTGAAATAGCTGAGTGATTAGCTTGTAACTGGTCACAGAAATAGCTATGTTAAAGTTAGAGCATATACATTCACCGAGGCACCTAGTACTAATCAAACAGGAGAATTTAGCGAAACACAACCACGCTCAGACAGCGGACCTTTAAACTGTGTGCGAGCAAACAAGGTGTTCTGACAAAGAAATTAGCATAAAAATTAGCATTTGATTGGCCGATTTTAGGAAAGAGGTGGTGTACGTGCCGGTGAACTCGCAGTTTGGCGCGGGGGGAAGGGGGGAGGGGGAGTTTACCTATTGATGGTGTGAAAAGGGAATTTATAAGAGCTGCGAAAGTTTGGGGTACCACTACTTGAAAAAATATATTGTACCATTGAAATTAGTTTAATGTTTAGTTCGATTTAGAACATCTTTCCAATGGTTGCTTAATTTGAAACCATCTTCTCGGTTGAAATAGTGTCTGTGTTTGTAGATCTGAATTGCTTCGTGAACAAATCTCTGATAAAAGCCCATGGGTTTGCAAAGAACCTTGGTATCGGAAAAAATTATATCGTGATCACCCACAGCGTTGTAACAGTGATCAGCCACGGCAGAAGAATTCGTTTTGCCGCGTTTCAAATCTGATTTGTGCTCGCGAATTCGGTCAGAGACATGTCGCTTTGTCTCCCCGATATAGCAATCACCGCAGGTACAACTCAATTTGTAAACCCCGGGGTACTGTAAGTCAGGAATGACATCCTTCACGGATGGGATCAGATCACGAGTTTTGTGTACTGTATTGAACCGGACCTGGATCTTGTGTTTGTTTAGAATTTTGGAAATCTTTTTAGTAATGCCTGCTATATATGGAAGTGTGATGGTTTTGACCGGAGTATCAAGTGGTTGTTTCTGTATGGAGGGAGAAACAGCTTGGCGGATGGTACGGTCAGAGTAACCATTCCTTTTGAGGGCCAGGTGTACATGTTTTAATTCACTGGTCAGGTGGTGTTGGTCCGAAATGCAATGAGCCCTATGGTATAAAGTTTTGATGAGATAATTCTTTTGGGCTGGGTGGTGGTGGGAATCAGGTTTCAAGTAGGAATCTGTGTGGGTGGGTTTCCTGTAGACAGAATGCCCAAATGAGCCATCAGGTCTCCTCTCAAACAGAACATCTAAGAATGGTAGCTTGCCATCTTTCTCCACTTCCATGGTGAATTTGATGGCGGGATGTCTGGAATTGATGTGGTGTAGGAAAAGGTTCAGAGCTGGGAGACCATGTGGCCAAATGACGAAAGTGTCATCCACATATCTCTTCCACAGGGAAGGTCTGAGGGTGGAAGTCTGGATGGCGTCTGATTCAAATTTCTCCATGAAAATATTGGCTATCACTGGTGATAAGGGGGATCCCATGGGGGTACCCTCATTTTGTTTGTAGAAGGAGCCATTCCAAGTAAAGTAGGTATTGTTGAGGCAGTGCCTAACCAGTGCAGGTGTGTCGGGGTCTAGTCCATGTTGGACCAAATTTTCAATTATTTCAATGGTATCAGGTACTGGGACCTTGGTGAACAAAGAGACCACATCAAAGCTGACAAGGATATCGTCAGGGGACAGTACAACGTCTTTGACCATAGAGACCAATTGGGCTGAGTTAAGTACTGCTGAGGCGGTCTTGCCAGTGAAAGGCAGCAAGGTATCTGACAAAAAACGGGCTAGTCTATAGGTAGGGGAGTTGATCGTGGATACGATGGGTCAAAGTGGGGTGCCTTCTTTATGAATCTTGGGAAGACCATAGAATCTAGGGGGTCTTGCAGCAGAAGGTTTTAGGGAGGGACGTTTAGTTGGGTCGATTAGGGAGGTCGAACTTGTGATGATCTTGTTGTTTTTTATCGCTAGGCTATTGGTAGGGTCATTTTTAATTTTTGAGTAACTTCCATCGTTGAGCAGATTCTGGATTTTGTTGTTGTATGAATTTTTATCCATAATAACGGTAGCGTTGCCTTTATCGGCTGAGAGGATGACTATATCACTTCTGTTTTTAAAACTCCCCCCCCCCCCTCCGCGCCAAACGGCAAGTCCACCGGCACGTACACCACCTCTTTCCTAAAATCGGCCAATCAAATGCTAATTTTTATGCGAATTTCTTTGTCAGAACACCTTGTTTGCTCGCACACATTTTAAAGGTCCGCTGTCTGAGCGTGGTTGTGTTTCGCTAAATTCTCCTGTTTGATTAGTACTAGGTGCCTCGGTGAATGTATATGCTCTGACTTTAACATAGCTATTTCTGTGACCAGTTACAAGCTAATCACTCAGCTATTTCAATGCTAAATTCTATGCTAATTCCTTTGTCAAGGGGTACCTCTGCGGATGTGTATACTTTAACTTAGCTATTTCAATGAGCCATTTCAATGCTAAATTATATGCTAATTCCTTTGTCAAGGCGCTTTGTTTTCATCTCACACAGCTTGAAGGTCGTGATCTAAGCGTGGCTTCTCTCACTCCAGCGCTGTCCTCCAGACAGTCTCGTCCCTTCACCTGATGAAGGCTGCTTGTGTTGTGGCCGAAACGTCATGATTTTTTGTTATTTTATTTTCACCTACGTGACTTTACCCAATAGAACCAAAGAGTATGGATCCTCGCAGTCACGGAAGCTTTTAATCTAGAATTGTATCAAAAGCTTTGGACATGTCAAGAAAAAGACAGGCACAGTACTGCTTATTATCAAGACTACTATAAATTTGATTCAGAGAGTCTAATGCAGCAGATGTGGTTCTGTATTTTTTTCGGAACCCAGATTGTTTTAGATGTAGTAGATTGTTGGTGGACAGGAAACTGCTAATTTGGTAGTTCAATAATTTTTCAAAAATTTTCATCAATGGGGACAAAATTGAGATAGGTCAGTAGTTATTGGTATCATCTTTAGGGCCCCCTTTGTGAAGTGGACGGACATAGGAATGTTTCCATTCTAGAGGAACTGATGCTTCTTTGATGGACAGGTTGAAAATAAGGGCTATAGGTTTGTATATTAGGTGACCAACAGTTAGTAGAGCAAAGACGGGAAAACTATCTGCTCCGGTAGAGGAGGACCCTTTGAGGTTGGACATCTGTTTCAGAACATTACTTTTGTGGATTGGCTGGAAACTAAATGCGATTAATGTTTGGACAGGGGTGTAGGAATTTGCATGAGCAGGGGTGACTCCCAATACATTATCAAAAAGATTACCAGCTTCAGAAAAATGAAGGTTAAAATTGTCAACTATTTTTTTGGGATCTGAAAAATATTCCCCATTTCGGTTTAGCTCAACGGGCAGATTGTCTGTTTTAGATGCCTTTTCGATATATTTGATTGTTTTCCAAAAAATCCTGGCATTTCCATGCGATTCCAGGAGAGTGGAGGAAAAGTAGGTATTTTTTGCATGCCGTATTTTTTACGCATCTATTCCTTAAAATCCTGTACTCTAGCCAGTCATTTACCAAATTACTTTTCTGAGCACATGCCCAGGCCTTGTCCCTAGTTTTCATGAGCTCTGTAATCAAAGGATCATACCATGGTGGGCGGTTGCCTTTAGTTTTAAATCTAACCAACGGAGCATGTTTGTTAAGAATTTGGAGAAACGTGTACCTGAAGGTCTCCCAAGCCGTAGTCAGGTTGGGGATATCACAGACCTTGTCAATATCCGAGTGAAGCACATCATTTGTAAATGCCTGAGTGCGGAAGTGCCTCAAAGAGTGCTTCTCAACAATTTTAGGGGGGGCTTTGGGTCTGGCTGATGATCTCACCCCAAAAATGAAGGAGTGATCACTAAGGTTAATACCCAGAACACCAGTCAGTGCAAAATTGTGAGGGGCATTTGTCAATAGGACGTCAAGCAGAGTTGACTGTCCCTGATTTTTTAGGTTGGGTCTTGTGGGGACATTTATTAATTGAAACAGGTTAAATTCATCTATAAAATTTGTGGCCACGGCCGGCGGGTTTAGCCAATTCTGATTTAGATCACCCACTAAAACTATTTCACCTTTTGGGAGGCCCTCAAAAAGCTCTCAGTGCCGATGCAGCTTCAACATTCTTCCCACTAGGCGGTCTATAGCAGCACACTACCAATATCTGTTGATCATTTGGGAGAGTTAGTCTGAGAGCCAAACCTTCAAAACAACATTTTTTAAACAAGGAGTGAGCTGGTGAACCTGCAATAGTGTTACGAACATAGATGGCAATTCCACCTCGTTTAGATCCTCGGTCAAGCCGAAAATGTTGTAGTTGTCAATCGTAATCTGCAAGTCATTGACGGCAGGAGTGAGAAATGTTTCTGTTAGGCAAAAAATGTCCGGGTCAAGATTTGCCACTTCTAGTTTTAGTTGACTTAATTTAATCACAAGCCCTCTGATGTTGACATGTAGAACACCAACACCTTTCCTGCCAGAAAAATCTACAGAATTATACGAGTTCTTTTCATTTGGGCCAGGATGAAGCTCAATACCACCCAGCCATAAGAAAAGTAGAATTAACAGTTTGCACAAGTATTTTCTGTGAAAGGATGAAGAGCGGCGAACCTTGGACGAATAGCAGCAGCTCGCAAATGGTGTTATTTTTAAGAGCAGAATGAAGTTTGGAAGGAGTGCTGGTGAAGTAATGGGACAAAGATAGGGTTTAAAAGGATACAATGATGGAGTGTAGAAGTGTCTATGAGCTATTCCTAGCTCTTTCGGTAAAGTCACGTTGAAGGGAAACAATAAAATAATACAATATATATAAAACAATAAAAAATTCTCACAACGTTTCGACCGTAACACAAACGGTCATCATCAGGTGTGAAACAATGTTTCTTGTCGTTGGGTTTTCACACCTGATGATGACCGTTTGCGTTATGGTCGAAACGTCGTGAGAATTTTTATTGTTTTATATATTTTTTATTGTTTTATTGTTTCCCTTCAACGTGACTTTACCGAAAGAGCTAAGAATATGAATTACTGCAGTCACGAATGCTTTAAATCTAAATCTCTATGAGCTGTTTCATTTGCAGGTGTAGTGGCAAATCGAGCAACAAGTATGGACCCAAAGTAATGAGGGTAGCTTTGATTTAAAGCTTTCGTGACTGCAGTGATTCATATTCCTGGTTCTTTCGGTAAAGTCACGTTGAAGGGAAACAATAAAATAATTCCACTTCTTTCAAATGCTTCTTGCAGTTGGTTTTCACACCTGATGATGACTGTGTTACAGTCGAAACGTCGTGAGAATTTTATTGGTTATATATATTATTATTTTATTGTTTCCCTTCAACGTGACTTTACCGAAAGAACCAAGAATATTAAAATTGAGATCAGCTGTTTGTAGAGTTGAGTGTGGCTCTAGATATGGCCGGGAGGGACAGCAGTAGGATACACAGCAAGAGAATTGCCATCTCTAAAATATCCGGGGTAAACACAGATTAATATATATCTATACTTGTAGCTGCTGCTGTAGAAGTTGCTGTAGCAGCTGCTGTTGTAGCTGGATCCGTTGCTGCGACTGTAACTGTTTCTGCTACAGCAGCAGCTGCTACAACAGCAGCTGCTACAGCTGTAGCAGAACAGCTGTAGCAGCTACAGCTGTAGCAGCTGCTGTTGTAGCAGCTGCTGCTGCAGCTGCTGTAGTTGCTGTAGCAGCTGCTGTTGTAGCAGCTGCTGTAGTTGCTGCTGTAGTAGTTGAAGCTGCTGTTCTAGCAGCTGCTGCTGCAGCTGCTGTAGCAGCTGCAGTAGCAGCTGTTGTAGCAGCTGCTGTTGTTGCTGCTGTAGTATTTGCTGCTGTAGTAGTTACAGCTGCTGTTGTAGCAGCTGCAACTGCTACAGCTGCTGTAGTTGCTGTAGCAGCTGCTGTTGTAACAGCTGCTGCTGTAGAAGTTGCTGTAGCAGCTGCTGTAGCTGGATCCGTTGCTGCGACTGTAACTGTTTCTGCTACAGCAGCTGCTACAGCTGTAGCAGCTGCTGTTGTAGCAGCTGCTGTAGTTGCTGCTGTAGTAGTTGAAGCTGCTGTTCTAGCAGCTGCTGCTGCAGCTGCTGTAGTTGCTGTAGCAGCAGCTGTTGTAGCAGCTGCTGTAGTAGTTGTTGCTGTAGTAGTTGAAGATGCTGTTCTAGCAGCTGCTACAACAGCAGCTGCTACAGCTGTAGCAGCTGCTGTTGTAGCAGCTGCTGTAGCAGTTGTTGCTGTAGTAGTTGAAGCTGCTGCTGTAGAAGTTGCTGTAGCAGCTGCTGTAGCTGGATCCGTTGCTGCGACTGTAACTGTTTCTGCTACAGCAGCAGCAGCAGCTGTTGTAGCAGCTATAGCAGCTGCTGTAGCAGCTGCTGCTGTAGTAGTTGAAGCTGCTGTTCTAGCAGCTGCTGCTGCAGCTGCTGTAGCAGCTGCTGTAGTTGCTGCTGTAGTAGTTGCAGCAGCTGCTGTAGCAGCTGCAACTGCTACAGCTGCTGCTGCAGCTGCTGTAGCAGCTGCTGTAGTTGCTGCTGTAGTAGTTGCAGCAGCTGCTGTAGCAGCTGCAACTGCTACAGCTGCTGTAGTTGCTGTAGCAGCTGCTGTTGTAGCAGCTGCTGTAGTAGTTGCTGTAGCAGCTGCTGTAGCTGGATCCGTTGCTGCGACTGTAACTGTTTCTGCTACAGCAGCAGCAGCTGCTGTAGCAGCTGCTGTAGTTGCTGCTCTAGCAGCAGCTGCTGTTGTAGCAGCTGTAGTTGCTGCTGTAGTGGTTGCAGCTGCTGTAGTTGCTGCTGTAGTAGTTACAGCAGCTGCTGTAGCAGCAGCAGCAGCTGTAGCTGCATCCGTTGTTGCTGTAGCTGCATCCGTTGTTGCTGCAGCTGCTGTAGTTGCTGCAGCTGCTTTAGTTGCTGCAGCTGCTGTAGTAGCTGTAGCAGCTGTAGTAGTCGCTGTAGTAGCTGTAGCAGCTGCAGCTGCTGTAGTAGTCGCTGTAGTAGCTGTAGCAGCTGCTGTAGTAGTCGCTGTAGTAGTTGTAGCAGCAGCAGCTGTAGCAGCTGTAGCAGCTGCTACAGCTGCTACAGCGACTACTACAGCTGTAGCAGCTGCCGTAGCAGCTACTGTAGCTGCTGCTACAGCAGCTGCTACAGCAGCTGCACCCTCTGTGAGTCTCTGTGTCTCTGTTCTGGCTCCGATAGTGACGCCATCCCCCCCCTCCTCCTCCGTTTATACTTGTAAATGACGTAATCTACTCTGCAGATACCGGATAGTGACGTCACTTCTACGCGCGTGAACACTCGGTGTATGACGTCATCAAATCCTGTCCTCATTCGCCAACAGTGACGTCCACCTCCGCACCGTCAACCGTCGTGCCAGTGACATCATCCACTCCCTACTCTGCGGTGACGTCAATCATTGAGCCGGTTGCCACAGGTGACGTCATTACAAGCGAGAGCGGCTCCCGCTCTGCGTGACGTCATTTCCGGCGGCGTCTCGCTCGCTGCGTCCGTCCGAGCTGCGAGAGGAGCCGGGAACGAAACGTCGAAGACGCCGTGGGGTGGTGAGTGGGGTGAGTGGTGTGAGTGGTGAGTGGTGGTGAGTGGTGAGTGGTGTGAGTGGTGAGTGGTGGTGAGTGGTGGTGAGTGTAGTGGTGAGTAGTGGTGAGTGTGAGTGGTGGTGAGTGGTGGTGAGTGGTGAGTGGGGTGAGTGGTGACTGGTGGTGAGGGTGGTGAGTGGTGGTGAGTGAATGGTGAGTGGGATGAGTGGTGATGAGTGGTGAGTGGTGGTGAGTGGTGGTGTTTGGTTGTGAGCGTGGTGAGTGGTGGTGAGTGGTGGTGAGCGTGGTGAGTGGTGGTGAGTGGGGTGAGTGGTGGTGAGTGGTGAGTGGGGGTGAGTGGTGGTGAGTGGGGGTGGTGGTGAGTGGTGGTGAGTGGGAGTGGTGAGTGGGGGTGAGTGGTGGTGAGTAGTGGTGAGTGAGTGGTGGTGAGTGGTGAGTGGGGGTGAGTGGTGATGAGTGGTGGTGAGTGGTGAGTGGTGGTGAGTGGTGGTGAGTGGTCGTGAGTGGTGGTGAGCGTGGAGAGTGGTGGTGAGTGGGAGTGGTGAGTGGGGGTGAGTGGTGGTGAGTGGTGGTGAGTGGTGGTGAGCGTGGTGAGTGGGGGTGGTGGTGAGTGGTGAGTGGGGGTGAGTGGTGGTGAGTGGTGGTGAGCGTGGTGAGTGGTGGTGAGTGGTGGTGAGTGGGGTGAGTGGGGTGAGTGGTGGTGAGTGGTGGTGAGTGGTGAGTGGTGGTGAGTGGTGAGTGGGGGTGGTGTTGAGTGGTGGTGAGTGGGAGTGGTGAGGGGGGTGAGTGGTGGTGAGTGGTGAGTGGGGGTGGTGGTGGGTGAGTGGTGGTGAGTGGTGAGTGGGGGTGGTGGTGAGTGAGTGGTGGTGAGTGGTGAGTGGGGGTGAGTGGTGATAAGTGGTGAGTGGTGGTGAGTGGTGGTGAGCGTGGTGAATGGTGAGTGGTGGTGAGTGGTGGTGAGCGTGGTGAGTGGTGGTGAGTGGTGGTGAGCGTGGTGAGTGGGGGTGAGTGGTGAGTGGTGGTGAGTGGTGGTGAGCGTGGTGAGTGGGGGTGAGTGGTTGTGAGTGGGGGTGGTGGTGAGTGGTGGTGAGTGGGAGTGGTGAGTGGGGGTGAGTGGTGGTGAGTGGGGGTGAGTGGTGGTGAGTGGTGGTGAGTGGTGGTGAGCGTGGTGAGTGGTGAGTGGGGGTGGTGGTGAGTGAGTGGTGGTGAGTGGTGGTGAGTGGTGGTGAGTGGGGGTGAGTGGTGGTGAGTGGGGGTGAGTGGTGGTGAGCGTGGTGAGTGGTGGTGAGTGGTGGTGAGTGGTGAGTGGGGGTGAGTGGTGGTGAGTGGTGGTGAGTGGTGAGTGGGGGTGAGTGGTGGTGAGTGGTGGTGAGTGGTGGTGAGCGTGGTGAGTGGTGGTGAGTGGGGTGAGTGGTGAGTGGTGGTGAGTGGTGAGTGGGGGTGAGTGGTGGTGAGTGGGGGTGGTGGTGAGTGGTGGTGAGTGGGAGTGGTGAGTGGGGGTGAGTGGTGGTGAGTAGTGGTGAGTGAGTGGTGGTGAGTGGTGAGTGGGGGTGAGTGGTGATGAGTGGTGGTGAGTGGTGAGTGGTGGTGAGTGGTGGTGAGCGTGGTGAGTGGTGGTGAGTGGTCGTGAGTGGTGGTGAGCGTGGAGAGTGGTGGTGAGTGGGAGTGGTGAGTGGGGGTGAGTGGTGGTGAGTGGGGGTGAGTGGTGGTGAGTGGTGGTGAGTGGTGGTGAGCGTGGTGAGTGGGGGTGGTGGTGAGTGAGTGGTGGTGAGTGGTGAGTGGGGGTGAGTGGTGGTGAGTGGTGGTGAGTGGTGGTGAGTGGTGAGTGGTGGTGAGTGGTGAGTGGGGGTGGTGTTGAGTGGTGGTGAGTGGGAGTGGTGAGGGGGGTGAGTGGTGGTGAGTGGTGAGTGGGGGTGGTGGTGGGTGAGTGGTGGTGAGTGGTGAGTGGGGGTGGTGGTGAGTGAGTGGTGGTGAGTGGTGAGTGGGGGTGAGTGGTGATGAGTGGGGGTGAGTGGTGGTGAGTGTGGTGAATGGTGAGTGGTGGTGAGTGGTGGTGAGCGTGGTGAGTGGTGGTGAGTGGTGGTGAGCGTGGTGAGTGGGGGTGAGTGGTGAGTGGTGGTGAGTGGTGGTGAGCGTGGTGAGTGGGGGTGAGTGGTTGTGAGTGGGGGTGGTGGTGAGTGGTGGTGAGTGGGAGTGGTGAGGGGGGTGAGTGGTGGTGAGTGGTGAGTGGGGGTGGTGGTGGGTGAGTGGTGGTGAGTGGTGAGTGGGGGTGGTGGTGAGTGAGTGGTGGTGAGTGGTGAGTGGGGGTGAGTGGTGGTGAGCGTGGTGAGTGGGGGTGAGTGGTGAGTGGTGGTGAGTGGTGGTGAGCGTGGTGAGTGGGGGTGAGTGGTTGTGAGTGGGGGTGGTGGTGAGTGGTGGTGAGTGGGAGTGGTGAGTGGGGGTGAGTGGTGGTGAGTGGTGGTGAGTGGTGGTGAGTGGTGGTGAGCGTGGTGAGTGGTGAGTGGGGGTGGTGGTGAGTGAGTGGTGGTGAGTGGTGAGTGGTGGTGAGTGGTGGTGAGTGGTGGTGAGTGGGGGTGAGTGGTGGTGAGTGGGGGTGAGTGGTGGTGAGCGTGGTGAGTGGTGGTGAGTGGTGGTGAGTGGTGAGTGGGGGTGAGTGGTGGTGAGTGGGGGTGAGTGGTGGTGAGTGGTGAGTGGGGGTGAGTGGTGGTGAGTGGTGGTGAGTGGTGGTGAGCGTGGTGAGTGGTGGTGAGTGGGGGTGAGTGGGGGTGAGTGGTGAGTGGTGGTGAGTGATGGTGAGCGTGGTGAGTGGTGGTGAGTGGTGGTGAGCGTGGTGAGTGGGGGTGAGTGGTGGTGAGTGGGGGTGGTGGTGAGTGGTGGTGAGTGGGAGTGGTGAGTGGGGGTGAATGGTGGTGAGTGGTGAGTGGGGGTGGTGGTGAGTGAGTGGTGGTGAGTGGTGAGTGGGGGTGAGTGGTGGTGAGTGGGGGTGGTGGTGAGTGAGTGGTGGTGAGTGGTGAGTGGGGGTGAGTGGTGGTGAGTGGTGAGTGGTGGTGGTTGGGGGTGGTGGTGAGTGGTGGTTAGTGGGAGTGGTGAGTGGGGGTGAGTGGTGGTGAGTGGTGAGTGGTGAGGGTGGTGAGTGGTGGTGAGTGAATGGTGAGTGGGGTGAGTGGTGAGTGGTGGTGAGGGGGGTGAGTGGTGGTGAGCGGGGTGAGTGGTGGTGAGTGGTGGTGAGGGGTGAGTGGTGAGTGGTGTTGAGTGGTGGTGAGTGGGAGTGGTGAGGGGGGTGAGTGGTGGTGAGTGGTGAGTGGGGGTGGTGATGGGTGAGTGGTGGTGAGTGGTGAGTGGGGGTGGTGGTGAGTGAGTGGTGGTGAGTGGGGGTGAGTGGTGATGAGTGGTGAGTGGTGGTGAGTGGTGGTGAGCGTGGTGAATGGTGAGTGGGGGTGAGTGGTGGTGAGCGTGGTGAGTGGTGGTGAGTGGTGGTGAGCGTGGTGAGTGGGGGTGAGTGGTGAGTGGTGGTGAGTGGTGGTGAGCGTGGTGAGTGGGGGTGAGTGGTTGTGAGTGGGGGTGGTGGTGAGTGGTGGTGAGTGGGAGTGGTGAGTGGGGGTCAGTGGTGGTGAGTGGGGGTGAGTGGTGGTGAGTGGTGGTGAGTGGTGGTGAGTGGTGGTGAGCGTGGTGAGTGGTGAGTGGGGGTGGTGGTGAGTGAGTGGTGGTGAGTGGTGAGTGGTGGTGAGTGGTGGTGAGTGGTGGTGAGTGGGGGTGAGTGGTGGTGAGAGTGGTGAGTGGTGGTGAGTGGTGGTGAGTGGTGAGTGGGGGTGAGTGGTGGTGAGTGGGGGTGAGTGGTGGTGAGTGGTGAGTGGGGGTGAGTGGTGGTGAGCGTGGTGAGTGGTGGTGAGCGTGGTGAGTGGGGGTGAGTGGGGGTGAGTGGGGGTGAGTGGTGGTGAGTGGGGGTGAGTGATGGTGAGCGTGGTGAGTGGTGGTGAGTGGTGGTGAGCGTGGTGAGTGGGGGTGAGTGGTGGTGAGTGGGGGTGGTGGTGAGTGGTGGTGAGTGGGAGTGGTGAGTGGGGGTGAATGGTGGTGAGTGGTGAGTGGGGGTGAATGGTGGTGAGTGGTGAGTGGGGGTGGTGGTGAGTGAGTGGTGGTGAGTGGGGGTGAGTGGTGGTGAGTGTTGAGTGGGGGTGGTGGTGAGTGAGTGGTGGTGAGTGGTGAGTGGGGGTGAGTGGTGGTGAGTGGTGAGTGGTGGTGAGTGGGGGTGGTGGTGAGTGGTGGTTAGTGGGAGTGGTGAGTGGGGGTGAGTGGTGGTGAGTGGTGAGTGGGGGTGAGTGGTGGTGAGTGGGGGTGAGTGGTGGTGAGTGGTGAGTGGTGGTGAGTGGGGGTGGTGGTGAGTGGTGGTTAGTGGGAGTGGTGAGTGGGGGTGAGTGGTGGTGAGTGGTGAGTGGTGAGGGTGGTGAGTGGTGGTGAGTGAATGGTGAGTGGGGTGAGTGGTGAGTGGTGGTGAGGGGGGTGAGTGGTGGTGAGCGGGGTGAGTGGTGGTGAGTGGTGGTGAGGGGTGAGTGGTGAGTGGTGAGTGGTGTTGAGTGGTGTTGAGTGGTGGTGAGCGTGGTGAGTGGTGGTGAGTGGTGGTGAGTGGTAGTGAGTGGGGTGAGTGGTGAGTGATGGTGAGTGGGGGTGAGTGGTGGTGAGTGGGAGTGGTGGTGAGTGGTGGTGAGTGTGAGTGGTGAGTGGGGGTGAGTGGTGGTGAGTGGTGGTGAGTGATGAGTGGCGGTGGTGGTGAGTGAGTGGTGGTGAGTGGTGAGTGGTGGTGAGCGTGGTGAGTGGTGGTGAGTGGGGTGAGTGGGGGTGAGTGGTGGTGAGTGGGGGTGGTGGTGAGTGGTGGTGGTGAGTGGGAGTAGTGAGTGGGGGTGAGTGGTGGTGAGTGGTGGTGAGTGGTGAGTGGGAGTGGTGGTGAGTGGTGAGTGGTGATGAGTGGTGAGTGGTGGTGAGTGAGTGGTGGTGAGTGGTGGTGAGTG